TGAGGATGATGATGGGGGAGATGATGATGAGGACGGGGGGGGAGGATGAGGGGGATGAGGACGATTAGGAGGAATGAGAAGAAGGGTGAACGGGATGAGGGCGATGAGGATGAGGTGAATGAGGGGGACTAATAATATGATGGTGATGATGATGATGGCGATGCTGATGATGATGATGATGATGATGATGATGATGATGATGATGATGATGATGATGATGGCCCGTTTAAGTAAGAAGAGGGCCACGATAGCCACGACCACGGCGGGGCGAAGTTGGGTGATAATATGATTGTGCGGGAATTATCATGCACATCCTCGCTGTCGCCTGCACTCGCCTCATCCTCCTCATCCGCTTCATCATTCCCATCCTCCTCCCACTCCTCATCGTCCTCCTCATCCTCCTCATCATCATCTCCCTCATCATCATCACCACCCCCCTCGTCCTCCTCACGTTCCCCGTCGCCATTATCATAAGCATGCGCATCATCGCCATTCTACGCGCACCCCTTCTCGTCTCCATACACACGCCCCATTCCCGCGATCATCATCATTGTGCCCCCCCCCACACACACACACATACACACACACACACCACCACACACACACACGCACTGGCTATCCGCGCCCTTCTTCCGCATCCACAAAATCACCCTACTCATCGTCCACAGCATCGCCACATCTCCACGCACACACACACACGCCGTCATCAGCGTCGGTGCTCAATCGGTGAGCCATCGGTGAATTATCGGTTCCTAGTACAGTGTACTATTTCATTCCATGCGGCCACTGGCAACCCTCCCATGGGCGCACCTATGCGTTGTGTGCAAGCGCATGTGCTTACATGTGCAGGCTCACTGGTGCCATGGATCCTGTATGGTTGGACCACGGCCCTGATTCGCACGAGCTCGCCACGCGCAGCGCTGAGATAAAGGTGGTCATTCGCGCAGCCGAGGAGCGTGCCAAGCTGATTGCTGATCCACAGCTGGTGTTCGATAACATACCGAAGACTGGAAGGGGCCTCGCGGTGACACGCGATACGGTCAGTCTGAATGCGGACAGCGGCCCACTTGCCAAAGGAAATGAACACCCTCAGCCCGCACTGCCTGATGTCTTCATGTAGGCGGTTGTGCCAGTACCGCGTGTGCTCTAGTTTTGGCGCCCGTCGCTCGCATCATTGACGAACCACCGGAATCAGATATTCTCTGGGTCTGGTGGCACCAACATGAGCACTACGCAGTTGACTACATGCACACAGTGGCGTTGGGTGCGGCTGCAGAGGCCGCGGTTTCAATAGTTTGGGGTGTACTGGCAACGTTGGGGACATATTTTTCCACCCAAGCAGTGCAGCACCAGTTCGGTAGATCGCGGCTTCAAACACTCTTGACGTCTTTTTATGAGAAGAGGCGACGCGATGGTCACCCAGTTAGTGAGATCTCCCCTCCCAGCTTGCAGCATCTATGTTCGGGTCCCCAGCTAAGCCCAAGCTAGAGGCGACGGCAGCCGAGACGCTTGGACTCTTTGACTTCTGCGTGGAGGCGCCCCCCCCCCCCCCCCGCGCGCGCGCGCGATAGAGCGTGGGCCCGCTATCGAGGCGCGTGCGAACGCACTTCGTGATTGGATTGTGTTGTTGAAGGCCGCCCCCGATGCGCCGTCAGACGACGAGTGCCCCGCGCTGAACATGCACTGCGCGCGCCACCTCACGTTGCTCGAGGCCGCTGGCATATAGCTGAAGCCGAAGCACCACTTGCTTTGGCATTTGGCATCAAGGACAGCCGCTGGGACACACCAAATTAGCATCATCATTGACGAAGAATATGATGGTGTTGATGGTGATGGTGATGATGATGATGCTGGCGATGATTCGAATGATGATACTGATGATGACGAGGCTGATGATGGTGATGGTGCTGATGATGATGCGGATGCTGATGATGATGCTGATGCTGATGATGATGCTGGTGATGATGGGTCGGGGGTGTGCGGAGGATGACGAGGGGGCTCGAGGATGGCGAGGGCAACGGTTGTCCCACCCAACCACACCAAAAGTACGTGTGCCCTGGGGCATAATCTAAACATGGGCGATGAGCGTGTGCTCTGGGGTACATCTTCTGTGAGTATCCGTTGCATGGGGTCTCCCCTGGGCGGGTGATCACGACCCCCCCTCCCATCCGTGCCCTGGCTGGCTAGCCGCGGGCATGGGGGGTGACAATGTGTTGTGGCTGTCCGTCCCAACCCCCCGTTCGCGGATACTGTCCAGCCTTCGGCCGCTACTTTCCCGCCCGACCCCGCGATCTGCGCGAGGGGTGCGTCGGAGTGGGCGAGGCTTGGGCCCCCCAGGGAGCTGGGCGCCCCGCGCCTCGGAGTCTCCTGGAGCCATCGGCCTCTCAGGGCCCAGGGCCCCTGTGTGCCCATAGCCTCGCATGACCCAGGGTCTCCAAGGCGTTTGGGGTGTCTTGGGGGTCTTGGGTGTCTGAGGCGTTTAAGGTTTGGCGTGTTCCTCGCCATGTGCGGGATCCGTGGATGGGGCCACTCAAGGGGGGCGTAGCGGTTGTGGCTGTCCGTCCCAGCACTTGCTTCGCGGCTCGATCTGTGAGTATCCGTTGCATGGGGTCTCTCCCCTGGGCGGGTGATCACGACCCCCCTCCACCCCGTGCGCAGGCTGGCTCGCCGCGGGCAGGGGGGGGGGAGGGGTTGTGACTGTCCGTCCCAACCCTCCGTTCGCGGACACTGTATAGCCTGCGGCTGTTCCCTGCCAGACACCGTGATCCGCTTGAGGGGTGCGTCGGAGTGGGCGAGGCTTGGGCCCTCCAGGGGCCCGGGCGCCCCGCGCCTCGGGGTCTTCTGGGGTCCTCGGCCTCTCATGGCCCAGGGGTCTCATGTGTGTCCATAGCCTCGCATGACCCAGGGCCCCCAAGGCGTTTGGAGTGTCTTGGTGATCTTGGGTGTCTGAGGTGTTTAAGTATTGGCGTGAATCTCTTCCTATGCGGGATCCGTGGATGGGGCCATCAAAGGGGGCGAGCGGTTGTGGCTGTCCGTCCCAGCACCTCCGTCGCGGCTCGATCCGCGAGTATCCGTTGAATGGGGGCTCCCACGGGCGGGCGATCACGACCCCCCCTCCCATCCGTGCCCTGGCTGGCTAGCCGCGGGCAGGGGTGGGTGGGAAAGGGGTTGCGTCTGTCAGTCCCAACCCTCCGTTCGCTGATACTGTCTAGCCTTCGGCTGTTCCCCGCCAGACCCCGCGATCCGCTTGAGGGGTTCGTCGGAGGGCGGGGTTTGCTCCTCCAGCCCCCCTTCCCTTCCCCCCCCACCCCCCTCTTCCCCCCCAGGTGCCTGTGCGCCCCGCGCCTCGGGGCCGTCTGGGGCCCTCGGCCTCGCAGGGCCCGCGGGCTGCAGGGTCTAGCACGGGTCTCCTGTGGGCCCATGGCCTCGCATGGCCCAGGGTCTCCAATGCGCGTGGGGCGTCTTCAGGATCTTAGGGATCTTGCCCCCTCCCCCCCCCCCCCCCCCCCCCCCCCCCCCCCCCCCCATCCGCACATGCGCGCGCGCACTTGCGCGCCGCGCCGCCGCCCTCGCGCTTCCCCGACCTGGCCCCGCCAGATCTGTCTATCTGTCTCTCTCTCGCTCTCTCGATCCCTCTCTCTCACTCCGCATGTATCTACCTCCGCTCACACAATCCTAGCGCCGCGGATCTCTCGCATAGGATCCAGTGGCTGGGGCGCCCGCGCCTATACGCCGCATGGCGTGACGAGTCGTTGAACCCCCTGCTGTCCAATTTAGCCGAGTCTGTTCGCCCCTTTAAGTTTGAGAGCGGCCTGTTTGTCAAATTGGACGTCCAAGCTGAACTAGGGGTTGGGGCTCATCGATCTTGTATGACGTGGTCGTGTACTGCGACATGTGCCAGCGAGCAGCGCATGCACATCGCATGCACAGGCGTGGCGCCGAATCGTGCGGCAGTAGCCCACGCCGCCTCTACATGCCAGTTGAGCGGCACCACCCCTCGCATGAAACCAGCAAGCGAATATCGACACATACCGCTACCCAATACTTAAACACAGTGATGTCTATTCGATTGCACGGGCCGCGTTGCTTTGCTAGCGTCGCGCCGCCCCGATAAGGCGTGACGCCGACGACTGCAAGGCCGTGGCCGACGGCATGGGGATGCGACTTGCGCCAGTTCGGCGACGCGACAGACCATCGCGCATTTTGCGCAGCGGTCTGACACTGTTGTTTCATGTGTCCTCTCGTTCACCCAACCACCTTCGCACTTGCGCATGCACTCGCTCGCTCACCCACCCCGCCCATTCATTCAACCAGCCAGTCATTCCGTTACCAATTCACTCATTTACTCATTCTTTCGCCCTCCAATCCCCCCCACCGTCTTGCTCCTCCTGCTCCTGCTCCTGCTCCTTCTCCTGCTGCTCTCCTGGTCCTGCTCAGGGGCGAAGTCAGCGTTCACGCGCGGCGTGAATCAGCGCGTTGATTACCCACCAGTGCAATGTGCGCTATTGTCATGTCCGTGTTTTCGTGGCACGCCCCCCGCAGCCAGGAAGAGGAGGGCGAAAGAAATGCGGGGGGGCACTGCCCGCTTCGCCAGTGACATCCGCTATAGGAGGTTGACGGGCAACGAATGCGAGCCTGGCTACGACAATTGCCTGCGACAAACGCGGTGACATGTCTGAGGTAGTTTACCCTACTTGTCTCCGCCCACATCGCATCTAACATCCTTCCCCGTAGCCGACCGCGCATATGTTTTTTATATAAGAAATAACACAACCAATGTTCATACTTATATTTTTGTACCACTATAACGTTGCCATTTGGCTGCGTGTAGCTGTCTCCAGACGTTTGGAGACATCTCCAGATATCTGGAGATGATACATCGTCTCCAGAATCAGGAGACATGGAACCTCAGGGCAAGGCCTAGGCAAGGACCGCCCTCGCCGCCGCCGGGGCGGGCGCCCTTGGCGCGGCAGGATGAGCTCCTGGCACGGGCCTGGGAGGTGGCCGACTCCGGGCGCTGTGGGCGAGGCTGGCGGCGCGGGGCAGTACTTCCCTGTGCCGCTCGTGGGGCAGCTCGATCTTGGCGTCGGCGCAGGTCTGCCCGGGCGGGGCAAGCTGCGAGAGAAGCGGCTGACGACCGTCGCCATCCAGAGCTTGAATTGGATGCGCGGCGCGCGCTGGCGAGAGGCTGGCCGCGCGAGGCCGCGCCTGGTGACCGCCGAGAAGGTGGCCGGGCTGCGGCGCGACGCGCAGCGGCGGGCGCAGCTGGCCGCAGCTGGCTGGAGACGTCCGAGCAGCGCGGAACCCTCGCAGCGAGCTCTTCCACAGCTGCTGCGGGGCCACGGCCCCTGCGGGGCCGAGGCCCGAGTTAACCTGGCTTCCTTCGCGCGCGACCGGCTCGGCGTCCCAGGCGACGTCGGGCTTGCGCCGCGCATCGACCAGTTGCTGCCGGAAGCGGCCCGTGATTCTTTGAAGGAGTATGGGAGTTACGTGCTGAGGTCGCCTGGAGAGGTGGCCATGCCCGACAAGGCGCTGGGGCCAGTGCGGCCCTGTGCCGACCCTGTGCTGCGATCCAATCGAAAGGTGTATGTGGGGCATGTGAAGCGGCCCCCACGGATAGGGCTGGCGCGGCTGAGCGCCAGCAAGAAGTGCGACGCGGGCGTGTTCGTGGTCGAGGAGAAGGGCGGCGCGCAGCAGAGGCTGATCTTGGACTGTCGGGCGTCCAACAGGCAGTTCGTGTCTCCCCGGGGCGTCGGCCTCCTGACGGGCGAGGGGCCGGGCCGCGCGGGGCGGCAGGCCGGGGGGCGCGGGGGCGTGTGCCTCGGGGCCTCCGACGTCGAGGGCTGCTTCCACAGGCTGAGGTACCCCGGGGGCTCCAAGCTGGACGAGTACTTCGCCTGCCCCGAGATGTGGCCTCCGAGATGGGCCTCGCCCGGTGGGGGGGGGGCGAGCGTCTACCCTGCGACGCGGTCCTGCATCCGCTGGCGCAGTCTTTGCCCATGGGATGGGCGTGGGGTCTCGACTGCGCCCGGGAGACAAACGCCAGGCATATGTAGCTGACCAAGGAGCTCTCCGGGGCCCAGCTTCTTCAGGACCGAGGGCCCCCTTGGTGCTTCGAGGGGGCGAGGGCCCTGGCGGACAGGGGAAGTACTGCTACGCGGGCAACTTGGGCGCGCTGGCGGACGACGAGGACTACGCGCGGCAGGGGCTGACGGTGGTGACCGAGACCTTCGGGGGCCAGGAGCGGGCGGTCCACGAGGCGGAATTTGCTTGCAATGCGCGGCCAGTGCGGCATTGCGCTCGGCGTGGAGGTGGGCGGACAGTTGGGCCGTACGCGGCCCACTGCCAAGAGGTTCTGGCGCGTGAGGGGCTCCATCCAGGAGCTGGTGCGCCGCGGGGCCTGCTCCCGGCAGGAGCTCGAGGCCCTGGTCGGGCACGTGGCGTTCGTGGCCTTGATTCGGCGGGGGCCGCTGTCCATCCTGCGCGCGACCTACAGGTTCGTGAAGAAGCAGTACTTCACCAGGGCGCCGTTGCGGGGGGGCGGGAGGCAGGGTCTCCTCGCGTTCAGCGGCGCGATGGTGTTCGTGGAGGCGAAGTGGGGCGACGAGTGGCTGCGGGGCGTCTACCAGACCGACGCGTCGCCGCGGGGTTTCGGCGTGGCCTACTCGCGGTGGCCGAAGGCGGTAGTCGCCGACGCTGGGCGGGCGCCCGAGCGGGCGCGGTTCCGGCTGGGCGCCGAGGTAACGAGGGGCCACGCATTTGCTGCCGCCGGGCTCGATGGGGCAGGGGGGCGGGATAGCGCGGGCGAGGACCGAGCCCGCCGACGCGGAGGTGCTGAGGTGGGAGCGGGGCAAGACGTTCCCTGAGCTGCCAGCCCGCCTCCTCCATGGGTCCCCCTGTACCACCGCGATGGCGCCCGGGGGCCCGAGCCGTGCTGGAGGGGCTCGAGCGCTTGGCCCGCAGCCAGCGCAGGCACGATGCGCGGGCCCTGTTCGTGGGAGACAACCTGGCGCTGACCCTGGCGCTGGGCAGGTCCCGATCCAGGGGCTTCAAGCTGCTGGCCCTCGTCAGGCGAGCTGGTTCGTTGGCCTTGGCTCGGGGCCTGCGATTGGTTTTCCGCTGGGTGCCTTCAGAGCTGAACAGCAGCGGCAAGGGAAGCCGCATGTTTGATGAAAAGTATGACGAACAGCAAGATGCCACTTGAATCGTGTCTTGTGTACCCGCGTCAAGCGTCGACAAGGGGGTCCCCAATGGAGCTGACATTGAGGGTCCGATGGGGGTGTCTTAGGTGCAACATCGGGGAGTCTCCGGGCGAGTATCTCGACAATGGTTTAAGCAATCTTGAGCGTGAACGAGGCGAGCGAGAAAATGGAGCAGAGCAAAGAGAGAGGAGAGAGCAACGAGAAGAGCGACAATGGCGAGAGCACGGAGAGCGATCATATCATGAACAACGAGAGCGAGAGACACGAGAGTGGCGAGAGCAAGACGCAGCAGCAATCCTAAAATATCAGCACTACGCCAGACAGCGAGCACGACCGTCCGTCATCCACGGGGCTCAACCTGGACAGGGACATGCAGGCGCGCCGGGAGAGAACCCTGACCAAGCCCGCGCCGAAGCCCCAGTCTCGCGGGGCCAGGCGATCGCGGACGCTGGCCGGCGCGTCTGGGGGCCAGGCTCGGGAGAGGGGCCGGAGCTCTAGGCGCGCCCGAACGCTGACGAGGGCAAGGGCGTCGAGCCTGCTGGCGAGGCTGGAGGCGCCGGCGCTGGAGCCGACCATCTCGCTGGAGATTGTGGCCAGGCAGGGCCCGCCGCCAGCAGGCGCCGCCTTGACCGTCGAGGGCGGCGAGAGCGACTCCGCCTCCGAGGAGGTGCCAGCTGGGGCGGACCGCCTGGGCGAGCTGCTGGCCCGACAGCGGGCGCGGCGGCGCGTGGCTCGGATGGCCGAAGGGGCCGCGGCGGGGCCCCCCGGGCGGAGCTACCTGGAGGCCGCCGGCGTGTCCGAGGCCAGTTGAGTCCGATATCGAGACTGCGCGCGAGAGCTCCTGGCCTTCGCCGTCCAGGAGAACATGGCGCTGCGCGAGGGCGACGAGGTGGGCGAGTGTCTCGCGTCGTGGATGAACATGCGGTACCTGCTCGGGGACAGGGCGTGGCGCGGCGAGTGCATGGCGGCCGCCCTGATGTGCGCTTCCCCGAGCTTCGCGAGAGGAGGGGGCCGGCGCCTGCCGCGGGCCCTCCGGGGCCTGAATGGATGGAAGAACCTGTGCCCGAAGCGCAGCCGCTGGCCGCTCCCGTGGGCCGTTTGGGCCGCCCCCTGGCTGTGGAGCTGCTGAGGGGCGGGCTGGGGCGGGCCTGCTTCGGGGCGCTGCTGATGGCGGGCGCGTGCCTGAGGCCGTCCGAGCTGCTGAGTCTCCGACGCGGGCCCCTGGCGCCGCCGGCGCGCGGAGGGCTCCGATATTGGAGCCTGCACTTCTTCCCCTGGGAGGGGGCCGAGCGCAGCAAGGTCGGGGGCGCCGACGACACCGTGGTGATGAATTCCGAGCGGATGCGGTGGGCCGACCCAGTGCTGGCGCACCTGGCCTGTCCCGCGTCGGAGAGGCTGTTCCCGTGGGACTACCAGCAGTTTGGCAGGCTGGTGCAGGGCGCAGGGGGGCGTTTGGGGATCGAGGTGGTGCCGTACCAGGCTCGGCACAGCAGCATCAGCCTCGACCGGGCGTTCCACCTGAGGACCCGAGACGAGGCGATGAAGAGAGGAAGGTGGTCATAATTTCGCTCTGTCGTGCGCTGCGAGAAGACGGGTCACCTGAACGATGCGTGGAGAAAGCTGAACCCAGGCGTGCGGGCACACTCCTTCGTCTGCGAGGAGCGCCTGGTCGACGTGCACCTGCGAGGGCCCCCCTGCCGGCGCGTCCGATGCTGTGGAGGCGACGGCGCGCTTCTTGGATCTCTTCTCGGAGTCGGCGGGGTTGCGCGAGATGCGCGGCTCTGGAGGTTCGAGACCAGAGAGTACGACCTCCGTGGGGGCCCTGCAGGGGATCTCCTGAGAAAGTGCGTGCAAGCTCAGGTTCTGACCAGCCTGCGCAGGGGGCGGGTCCTGGCCGCCATGATGGCCCCGCCGTGCGCCTCGTTTTCGATTGTCCAGAATTCGTCGTGCCCGGTTCGAAGCAAGCAATGCCCGCGAGGCTTTCCTAGGCTCCCAGCCGACAGGAAGGCAAAGGTGAGGCTGGGGAACCGTTTTCTCGATTGTGAAATTCAAGTCGTACGCGTGCGCGTGCAAGAGAGGGCCCCCTTTTGTATCGAGCACCCGCAGTCCAGGTATATGTGGCACGATGTGACGCTGTGCCACGCTCTAGAGGCTGCGCACTCGAAAATCTGCGATATCCACCAGTGCCAATTTAGCTTTGTGCACAGGAAAGCCACCAGATTGGCCTTCGGCTGTTGCGACGGGCTAGACCTGGGGAGACTGGGCTGCCTTGTCGGGAGCCGATGCCAGGGCAAGCGCGGGTTTTGCTCGGCGACAGGGCGCAACCATGTAGTTGGGGTCGTGGGCGACGGCGGCGTCGGCCGCTTGCCCTCCTCGGCTGGCCGGCGCCCTGGCCCTGCTGCGCTGGGAACTGCCGATTCGGGCCCCTGTCCGGGCACTCGATTCGGGCTGCGTTTTGAATCGATTCTCCTGGCCGCGCGATGGGCTTCAAGGCCTTTTCAAACACCAGCCATGCTGCAGTAGCGAAAGCCTCGAGCCCAGGTCCAGCAACAGGATCGTGCTCCGCTAACCTTTAATTAGAGGAATACAGCATGATTCTGGGTGCCACAGGATTGCTGTCTCCTCGCAGGCGACTGTGGTGATTGCAATGGTCTGTGATCGTTTGTGCTCAAGCTTCCCGCCCCAGCCCCCCATTTAACATGGGGTGCTTTTTGAATCGATTATCCTGGCTGTGCGATGGGCCTCGAGGCTTTTTCAAACACCGGCTATGCAGCAGTAGCGAAAGCTTCGAGCCCAAGTCCAGCAACAGGAGATGCTTGGCAATGGCGACGGGGGGCCGCCTGCAGGCGCGCGGGCGGAGCGGCCCAGCGCGCGCAGCACGCAGTGCCTGAAGGGGGCGGCCGAGATGGGGGCGCCCGCGGCTCGCCGAGCTGCGCGGGCGCGGCGCTACCTCGCGGCAGAGGCCGCGGTGATGGCGCGCGCGCGAGGCGGATGCCCGGGCTTCTGGCAGGGCCGAGAATCGGCGGCTCGGTCAGCCCTCCGCAAGGCCGCCGCTGGGCAACGGGTCCCTGGGGGCGCTCAGAGGCGGCGCATTGCCGCGGGGCGCGCCGCGTGGATCCCCCTGGGCGGCGTCTCTGGCGCCTCGAGAGCAGGCCTCGCGTGGGCCGCGGCGGGGCCCCGCCTGGGGCCGGGAGGCGCCGTGGCCTCAGGCGCTAGGCGCGGCGCGGCGGCCACGAGTTCCTTCGCCGCGTGCTCCAAGGACTACGTCGTCGCTATCGCGGAGGGCGGCAGCGAGCAGGTGGGGCCTCTGGAGGTCAGTCCGCGGGCGTGCTCGCGTAGGGAGCTCGGGCACCTGCGGAAACTGGTGCCAGCAGCGGTCTTCGGGGGGCCCAGACAGGGGCACGCCTTCAAGGGGGGCAGCGGAGCTTGGCGCGAGGCCGTAGACATACGGGCGGCCGAAACCTTCGGCCAGGTCCAGCCTCCATCCTGGGCCGCGGACGCGCGGGTGGCCGAAGCCCCAGGGGAGAGATGCCCCCGTCGGCGCCGGGGCGCGGATCCGGCCTTGGGGGGCCCGCTGCTGGGCAGGCCCAGAACGGGAAGGGGGGGGGGGGGGGGGTGCGAGCTCTGGGGCAAGGCCGCAGACGCGCGGGCGGCCGAAGCCTTTGGCCAAGCTCAGCCCCGCCCCAGAGCCGCGGACGCGTGAGTGGTCGAGGCCTCTGGGCCCCCCCCGGCGGCCGGCGCCGGGGCGCGGAGGCGTCCTTGGGGGGCCCAGTCAGGGGCGAGGCTAGCTCGTGCTCGAGACCGCAGACGTGCGGGCGGGCGTTTCCATCGACCGAGCTCAGCCCCTCCTCGGGGCCACGGACGCGTGGGCGGTCGAGCCCCCTGAGCCGAGCGCCCCCTCCCAGGCTGCGGACGAGGGCCCCTGCGAGAACAGGCTGGAGGACCAGAAGGGCAAGCGCAAGTTCGGCCTGGACCTGGGCGCGGGCGGGGGCTTCTTCGAGGGCGGGCTGGAAGACCCGAAGGGCCAGTGCAAGCGCGAGGTCGCCCTGGGCGCAGACGCGAGCGCGCGCGAGGTCAGGCTGGATTTCGACGGCCAGGGCGGCCTCTCGGACCGCCCTCGTAGCGGCCGGCATCCCCCTGGGGCTCCCACTTGAGGCCCCGCGCCCGCTCGCGGGCGCCGCGGGCTGAGTCGCCGTGTCTGCGCGGGTGCCGTTCTTCCGCTTGCCTCGGCTGAGGCGGGTGATTGTTCTCGTCGCGCGGGCGAATCTGCGCGCGTGCGCCAGGGCGCGTGAGACTGGGCGCTGCCTCCGCAGGGCCAAAGGGGAACCGCCTCGGTCCGAAGGGCAGTGCGAGCAAGGAGCCCCTGGCCCCTTCAGCTGCGGGGCTCATTCTCATTATCGTCCGAATCAATTGATCGTCATCCTCGGCATCATCACCGCCATGGACATGAGCATCGTCATCATCATCATCCTGATCATGTTCATCATGATTACCATGATCATCATCGTAACCATCACCCGTCGCATCATCACATTAGAATCCGTAACACCAACATAGTTCTCGCCATCGTCATCAGCATCATCACTGTCGCAGTCATCATCATCATCCCCAGCACCAACATCAGCGCCACCGTCATCATCACTTCCATTACCAGCCATTTTCATCATGATCATCGTCAGCATCGTATTCGTCGCCTCGGTCATGACCGTCGGCAGCGTCATCGGCATTATCATCACCAGCACAACTGTCACCACCATCATCTGGGTCACCATCATCACCAACATCACCTTCTTTCCCTCATCATCAACATCGCCGTGATCAACTTCATCAACTTCATCGTCCCCATCGCCATCATCAGCATCACCATCATCGCAATCATCATCAGCATCTCCATTATCATCATCATTATAAAAAACCAGCACCACCATCATCAGCATTTCGATTTTCGTCAGTGCCGTCAGCACCACCACTATCCTCATCAGGATCATCATCATCATCATCGCCATCACCACCAGCACCATCTTCGTCGTCGCCGTGATCGCCAATCACAAGCGCCACCATTCTCACCATCATTATCGTCATCATGATCATGAACATCATCATCGTCATGGTAACCATCATCACCAACCCAATCATCAACACCATCATCAACATCATCATCACCATCATCATCACCATGATGAACAACATCACCATCAGCACCCTCACCTGCGTCATCATCACCACCATCATCATCGCCTCCATCATCTTCACTAGTATCTTCATGATCGTTGCCATCACCATATTCCACCCGCGTCATCACACGAACCCCAAGCATTCGCATGATCAGCACCACAATCTTCATCACCACCACCATCAGCATCGACATCATTATCAGCAGCATAGCCATCACCAACCATCATTAACATAACCACAATCATCACCACCATCGTCAGCATCATCATCATCATCATCATCATCATCGCACTGATCATCATTGGCACCATCATCATCAACACCATCATCAGCACAACCATCATCAGCACCACCATCCTCACCATCATTATGATGAGCATAATGGTCATCGTCACCTTCATCATCACTACCGTTGTCAGCGCCACCAGTATCACCATCAATCGCAGCATCGCCATCGCCATGTTCAGCATCGATATGATCAGCAATACCACCAACATCACCACTATCACCGTGACCACATATTTTGATATGATAGTTTTTCCAGCTTTTACGCGACCACATAGTTCGACAGTATCATCATTCTCATCATGGCCAGCATCATGCTGTGTGATACCCTCATTTTTGTAGCTATTGGCTTCGTCCTTGGAACAGAGCATGTCGATGCGCAGTCTACTTTAATAGGCCGACCTTTGGAGTCATGCAGCTTAGACTTGCCATCACCAAGCTAGCCCCATGTGTAGGGGGCGGCGTATTTAAAGTGAGTTGGTAGCGCTTGGGCGTACAGTGGCCGCTATACACAAGGCAGGCATAATTGCTTTGTTGCTTCTCAGGCATGCGGTGGCGATCATCTTTTATATTGTTTTGGGCGTCTTTTTGCCTTGGAACATCTATCTCGTGTCCTGCCACTTCTCCCGCCCGCCTCTCTTGCCTGGTCTGCCTTCGGAAGGTTACTGCTCACCCATGGCCGTGCCGTCACTTCCCCCGCGATGTTCTCAGCAATGCTCTCGCGGGACCTGCTGTTCGGCACCTCGAGCTTTCTAAGAGGCCAATGAGGCTATGGCCACGAATGCTCGAGCGAAGACAATCTCTAAAAGGAATCCTCACATTCGGGCACTGTTCATCAGATAACCTAGCGCGTGAGGGGGCTTCGTCATCATCATCGTCATCATCATCACCACCATCATCATCATCACCATCACCACCACCATCACCACTGTCATCGTCACCATCGTCACCATCACCATCATCATCATCATCATGATCATCAGGCTCATTGTCATCGTCATCACCAGCGTCGTCATCATCACCACCATTGTCGCGGAGGTCCGCGAGGCCGTGGCCATGGCCG